TGTGACCACGGAAATCGACCGAGTCAAGTGCTGGATTAGTACGGAGAGATTGAAACAGAAGGAGGTACTGAATAGAGAGACCGGGATGGTTTTTAATGTGAAGAAAAACAACAACAACAACAACAACAACGTCGTTGCCAAGCGACGAAAACCCAATCCCGATNACAACGTACTGGCGCGTACTGCTGACCCTTGGGGTCCTTCCGGAAGGCTACCCCCCAGGCTGGTGGTGCGCACGTTCCACTATTTATTTATTTATTTGCTTCTGATTCTTTTGTTTGCTTGTTTTTTATCGCTCTGCTAACCCTTGGGGTCCATTTATTTTGGTATACCTTTTCTAGGTACGTTAGCTTGTGACCACGGAAATCGACCGAGTCAAGTGCTGGATTAGTACGGAGAGATTGAAACAGAAGGAGGTACTGAATAGAGAGACCGGGATGGTTTTTAATGTGAAGAAAAACAACAACAACAACAACAACAACGTCGTTGCCAAGCGACGAAAACCCAATCCCGATGGCAAACACCGAGGGAGGGGCTTGTTTTACAACGTCGTTCCCAAGCGACGAAAACCCAACCCCGATGGCAAACACCGGGCGGCGCAAGAGTGGAGGGTGGTAATCTCCTTTGTTGCTCCCACAGCTGACTGCGCGCACCCGTGCGAGGACAATGTTTAAGACAACGCAGAGGGTACATGAGCTTCCGGCCTTGTAGCGCAGGCGGCACCCACGGTGACCTCTCGCGCTTTGTATCACGTCGTACACCACCAACCTACCCTTCCTACTCCCGCCGCCGCCGAACGCTTGTCTTGTGGTGCTATTGGCACACTCTGCGTTTGTCCCGCACCCCTCCCACCCGAAAGCAGATGATGAACACCTTGTTTGGGGAGATGCTCCAGTTCGCCCTGGTTCTCGGGACGATCATGATGGGCTTCACCGTGAGCTTCTTCGCTCTGTTCCAGGAGGCCTAGTCGTACGGCGACGTGAGTCTTGCACCGCCGTAAGCTCGTTGTTGTTGTTGTTGTTGTTGTTGTTGTTGTAGTTGTTGCTGTTGTCGTATCCGGACTGGAAAGGCGTCGACAATTTCAATATGCCAAACGCACCTGTAGCGAGGTACACATGGTGTACGCCCTCAGTTGCACCTCTTGCCTCGTTTCTCGGGGACCCTGAATGTGGGATTTAACGGCAGCTCCTGCACGTGTGTCGTTCCCCTGGTTTTCGTCACCTCTTTTTCTCGTTGCTACCGTGATGCTACGTCCCTCCCCACGCCCCCCCGCGATGTCGCCAGGTTTGGTTGGCCGTTTTCAAAGCCATGCTCGGCGAGGTGAGCGTGTTCTCGGAGAACTACGAAGACAGTGTGCACAGAGATGTCGCCCGGGTACTCCTTGTCGTGTACCTGGCCGTGGTGGCCGTCATGCTCCTCAACCTTTTCATCGCGGTACTGAGGTAAGGAAAACACTCGTCAGTGTTTGTCACCGTCGTCGTCGTCGTCGTCGTCGGTGTTGTTGTTGCTGCTGTTGTCGTTGTTGCTGCTGTTGTTGCTGGTGTCGTTGTTGTCGTTGCTCTTGGCTTTCACACAAGATTGCTGTTTGTGAATATGCACGTTGTTCGTTTTGTCGCATCACCTGGCGCGAACGTGTGCTCATACTTCCACTTCAGGGATGCAGTTGCTGCGTTGTTGTTCGTGTGTTCACAACGATAGTGGAGGTGGATTGCTTCTTTGGGTAGGGGACGCTTGGTCAGAGTGTTGCCTTGTCGTGTCCACCCCGTATCGTGCAGGCCTTCTTTTTTCGTTTCGCTGCCTGGCGTCACGGGGATGTCGGTTGTTTCGAGTGGAGCCATCGGAGGGGGGGGTCTCTGCGAGTCGTGTTGATTGAAACGCCACTAGTTTCCCAGCCGCCATACCAGTAAGTCGACGCCAGCTTGCCCTACAGAAAATGGGAAGCCGGATCAGCGTTTTTTTTTTTTTCATGCACAAGTGCAACCAAGTAGTCGTTTATTTTTCATTACAGGATTTCACAAGGTTTCACTAGGTAGCCTCCGCTGCTATTGGTGTCTGTTCTCTTGGTATCAACTCTATCTCTCCTCCCTCCCCCCCCCCCCCCCCCCCCCCCCCCCCCCCCCCCCCCCCCNGCAGCTCCGTCGTCGTTATCCTCCACGTCTTCGCACTGCCCTTCGTCCTGGCGTGGTTCTGGGTCCGCTCCGGGCTGGGGCTCGCGGCGCTGACGACGCTGGCGGCTGCGCTTTGCGGCGGGAACGGAGGGGAAGACGGCAGCGGCAAGAGAGTGCCGCGTCGACCCTCCGCTGCTGGTTCCGGCGGCGGGCCTACCGCCGGTTCGCCGTCCGTCTGTAGTGACGTCATGGTCGCTGACATGCTGCGACGGGGGAACGCCTCCACTTGGGCACGTCACGCCGCCGGCTCCAGTTTTGCGGAGATCTGGGCGTAGCTGGAAAACCCCACGACGCCCGACGGCCTCGCGCAGCGACAAGACGAACAGGACCAAACGGTAACAGTGGAGGAAATCATACGCGCGCGGGACCACCTGGACGAGGCCGGGAGGGGTCGGGGCGAGGCCGTCCTCGCTCTCCTCAAGTCCGTGAACGCTGACCTGAAGGACCAGATCGCGGAGTTAGAGCGAAGCGTGGCTCGCAGCGTCGAGAGCCTGAGGGTGGGGTCGGAGGCGAGCGTTGCCTCTATCGTGGAAGCGGAGGTGGCGAAGGCTGTCGAGGAATCCCGGGGTCCGTCGCCACGAGGGGCGTTGTCGCCCGCTGCTGGCGCGCCGCGAGTGGACAAGCCGGGATCATGAAGCGGCCTGATGGCGGCGCAATTTCACGACCACTCGGCCGTATGATCACCGCCTTCTTTCAGTCACTTGTGGTGCTGCAATGATTTCCTCTTGTCGTTCGGTGATGGCGGTGTCTTTAGCATCGATTCGGCAAGAGTGTACCCAGCTGCAAGAATTTACCCCGAACGTGTTGGTTTGGTTTTGGCTTTGGTATGATGTACTGTATATTTTTTACCGTCTTCTACTTCCTCTGTTTGTCCCCAGTGGGTGAGGCTTCCCAGAAACGAACCCCTGGTAGTGCGTTCCCACACCGATTAGACTCGGCGCTGTTTCATAGTTGAATTGCAGTATGGTTGTAGAGGGAGGTCGGAGGTGTTTTTTGGTTGAATATCATTGGTCACATGTTTACGTACGGGCAGCGCTTTGAAAGTAGTTCGACCTTCGTACGCATGTAGTCTAGAGATTACACCTGTAACTGTTTCTGACGAACTTCACCTCCATCCAGGTTTGGCTTGCCTTCTTAGGCGACGTATTTTTGTACGTACATGCAGCTCTTTGAGAGCATTTCGCCCAGTAAGTCTTCCACCTGTAGACGAAGAGTTTTTGATGAAATTTGTCTCCATCCAGTAGTTGTTTGCCTTCTTCCCAGGGACGTGAAGAGTGGCTCTGAGAACGTGTCAGTTGCATACCATGACAAGCCAGAGTTAGCGCAGAAAATCGCCATGTAGAGTTACGGATGATTGTGGTTCGATATCACACGAAAGGCTAGCCACCGTGACAGCAGTTTTCTTGTGAGCTTTGTTTTGATGTTGTTGCAGTGACAGCGGCGTGAGGAAAAGTAAAGATGATTGTGGCAGATAGATGTGATGGCCTAAAAGCGCACGTACTCCTTGCACGCCACACAACCCCTTCCTTCCCCGCGGGAAGAACGAAATTGTTCATTTTGTGTACCACTAGACTGGCTGTTTGAAGACAACTCTGAGGTGTTGTAGTTGACAATCATGATGGCCGACAAGCGTGCAAACGTGGAGTTGTTCGTGTGTCATTGCTCGACCTTGGGAGCCATCCGCACTCGCCGAGTGGAAAATCTGGTCGAGTCATGTTTGGCGATCAAGAGTCTGGTGCAATGTCGATGTCTTCGGAGAAAATCCTTGCTGGCTTTGTGTTCGGTTCTTTGGTGCTGTCAATCTTAATCTTTAGGCTCTGAGCGTAGCTTAGCTTGTGACGTCGCGTGGAGGATGGATTTTGCCGGGGGGGCTGTCCGTACAGTTCGAAGTCGAAATACTACGCCGTCGGGCGGAGGGCATTTGAAAGGGAGAGGATCGGTGTCAACATGAGTCTGATATTCACGTTGGTAGACTAGACTACACATGTGTTGAACTCTTTATTTTTCAGGTGAACTGCACCTGCAACATGAGCATTTTGTCGCCGGCAAGGATTAGACTAATCAACTGCACACCTCTCGTGAAGCAGGTGATGGGATGAGAGTCGTTTGTGCGAAGCCTGGACCCCTCCATCAAGAAGAAGAGTGTGGCCGGAACTGTAGCATGGGCGACGGAAAATGGAAATGGGATGCTAAACCGACCACCGTTGGCGAGAATCGGGGCCGACCTACGATACTCGATTCTACTTTTTTTGCGTCCCAAGGAACTGCCGGGCGCCCCCCTCTCCTGTATAGCTAGCAGTTTGTACGACACCTTCCTTAGTTGAGTCACTTCTTGCATGTTGTTTTTGTTGCTGTTCTACCAGTTCCGATGTAAACGCAAGTTCCGATGTAAACGCAAGGATACATCTCCAAAGCCGTCTTAACACTCTGATCTAGCTTGGGACATGAGGAACGAACGGCCATTCGCGGAACAAAAGGCCAGGAATCAGGCATGCTGCACACAATTACAGAGACGACAACGCCCATTGACAAATAGCCGCCCCGTCGCAGCGAAAAATATTCACGTAAACATAAGACCCCTACCCAATGTAGACGAGCTTTCCTGAACGTCATGTATCTACCGATAAGCCTTTGGAAACCCATGAAAGACATGGTCTATAAACCTACAGCAGAGGAGAAAAAATAACACGAAGAATCCTTCCCTCTCTTGTCAGCGGGGTTCTGGGGCACATTGATGCTCTCCCTGCAAACGCTAAAATGTGGCCTCCAGGCGGAATACTGTCTTGCGCGAAACACAGCAGACAGCCCTTTACCACCAGCCGCCCTTTACAGTATGAACAATAACTAAGGAGTAGACAATGTGCTTTGGTCTTCCGACCGTACCCCTCTCCCGTGTGACCGCGCTCGCTGAGCCCGTACATACCCAAATGCGTGGCATTCGCTACACCTCTTCCAGTGTCCAGAAAGCATGGGAAGGCGGATGACTCACGTGAGCCCAGGGTTGGGGCTCCTGCGAAAACACTCGAGAAGTAAAAAGCAGCCTAATTATTTCGCTCTCCCGCTCAAAACTGCTGCTGCTATTCATATTTACTATCATCGCTATCGTATTACACTGCTTGAGCACTGAACAACCACGTGCTACATGCTTCATATGCACGGGAATTTCTCCACGCGAACAAAAAACAAAATGGTGTAGCTTCCTTGACAACATTCATGAGCGACGACTGCTGTAGCATAAAAAAATCATCTCCCGTTCCGCCCTAAACTGCGTAATAAGCACTAAACACACACGTGGGGCACACTTATCAGTGGACCTCATGCGTGTGTTTCCGTACACATGATGTTTCCGCAAACAACCAAAACAAAGATTAGGTACACACCACATCAACAGGAGGACACGAATGGAGGGAATCCGAGAACACGCTCTTGTGATACTGGAGTGGTGGTGACACAAGCAGCCAGCAGAGCGGGAGGGGGCACGCCGACGTTGTCCCTTCACCCGTGTAACTCATGTCAGGGAGCATGGAGACATCTCTCGTAGGAGGCACCATGTAGTTGTACGGTACACAGGTTCTCTCTCTCTCTCTCACTCTCTCTCGCTCTCTCTCTCTCTCTCTTTCTTCCCGACACAATTTGTCACACGCAAATCGTGGGCACGCCGTCATATGTCTCCTCTAGTTTGTACACAGGGAGACCCTTTGCTAACCAGGTAAAGAACCGCAACCACCTTCTCCCACCGCCGATGAATCATTGCTTCTTACACTATACACAAGAATTTGCGCGATATATTCAGGGTTCACGGGCAGTCTTTCGACATTGTTTTACGTGGCGTTGGACACCAAGAGTCCCATCAGCAGCTGCGCTGACGTGTGCCTAGGGATGATCGGGGGGCCGCCGGAATGGAGCCCATGCCGACGGTCTCCTTCAGTTTCGGCGACGAGAGAGTTGGCACGATAGGGGGTGCAAGCAGCATATGAAAAGAAAACAAGGATAAAGGCCGAGAGAGAGCAAAAGTGTCAAACGGCGTGAGTCAGGTCGGTCACCGCGCAACGCGCAAGCTGTTGGACAAGCTACGGAGTAGGCCCGGCCCAAGCGAATGAGATACACCGTGTGTGCGGTTTGCGCATCCTGAGGTGCCGCTGTTGAGGTCAACGGTTATTATCCCAGATATGGCTTGTGCTTTGAACATGATTGATTGGCGAAGTCCTGAGTGTAGCAGGGACACATTGCTTCAGCAAGAAAAAAAACGGCTGGACCCCGCGCTCCGAAGATAGCTGTCGGGTTGTTCGACGACTACTCACCACGCGTGGCGTGACTCGCATCATCAACTTCACGCGAGGCAGAATGAAAGCATGTTATATAGTCCCCGTCCATGAACCAATTCACAATATGATATGTGACTGAGGTAGGCAACATTGTGTAATCTTCGACAAGACACCTTGCCAGCAAAATATTACAAGCACCTTCCGCAGTGTTGAGCGAGCGAATAGGCCAGATATATTCCGTTGTTACTTTTAATAGGATGAAAACAATAGATCAACGATAATGGAACCAAATATGTGTACAGCAGTGCACAAGTTTCAGCATTTTCAATCTGGACATCTGGACGTTCGTATGCATATACGTGTGATGGGCGGGTGTTTTTTTTGTTTGTAATTTTCGTTTTGGGGAATGACATCGGTGAGTAGCTGCTCATTTTATTGCGAAAACAAAAAAAATAGACTAACATAGCTCTGCGGTGGATCCTACACCAATACATGATGGTAGCACATAATGACGTGTGCCCAACGTTGGCGACGAAATAGTATGAGATCGATTCTCGAGTGTTGATGATTCTTAATCGCAGGGCCGTGCTGTACACAGCCGTTGAGAAGAGGAAGACACTCTTACAGCTGGCGTTCGCAACGAAGACAAAACTCTGTCGATCAAGCAGCGTATCTTATTGAACCAGGGGGGGTTTATGCCCACACTCAAAATGACATCGTATTCCTCCACATCCAAACGTCCAATGGCATACGCCTCAAGCTACATGAAAACAGTGGCCCTTAGACTTCTCTCTCTTCAGTCTCTCTCTCTCTCTCTTCTCTCTTCTCTCACTGTCTCGGCGCGTGCCTCCCTCTCTCTCTTTCTCTCCCTGTCCCTATCTCTCTGTCTGCCATCCCCCCGAGCCCCGTGCCCTTCCTCAGCCTCTACGCATGACCTCCACGTCTCACCTCTACACATGGCCCTAAACGACCCGTGCTGGAGCTGGTAGAGCCGCTTGATGGGGTCCGGAGGGGGATTAAAGGCGTCGGGGGTCACGTTGAAACTGATCCATGGGATTTCCCGGACAATACCACGGAAGAACGCCGGAAGGTTCGACGAATCGGAGAACCGCATGACCACCACGTTCATGCCGAGAGAGCAGCGTTGTCGACGGACCCGGTTTCCCGAAAACGTGGCGGTCGTAGTTGACCGGGGGGTGTAGCCAGTGATGAGAATTGTCAGGTCAATCAGGCAGCTGCACACATCATGTCTACACGAACGCCGCTCAATGTATCGATTTTAATCCTATCCAAAAGTTGATAGGTATGTTGAAGCCTTTCCCGTGTAGCTTCATTTCAGCAAGCATGTGCGAGTGAGACTACGTCACTTGCGCGCCTCTCGAAGCACGGTGCTCCTCGAGAAGACGAGAACAGAGCAGCACAACTTATCCCGAAACAACCCAAAATATTCCACTCACATCCAAACCTTGGATAGCGTGAGAACACAAGCCTCTCGGGGGGGTGGGATACAGGCGTCTCCGGTGCACCATACCATCCGGGAGGAATGGCAAGCAATCAAGAGAATTCCAGGAACAAGTGCCGTTAATAGAACCCCAGGTTTGAATGAGAACCTCGCCACAGCAGCTCTCTTTCATCTCACCTAGAACGGCACAGGCTTCTCCAGTACTGATCGTCATTCCCCTGCTTTTTCCACTCTCGGGAAACGCTCGACACCGTGCACAAGGTCAACGCGTCCATGTACTGATTTCCGTGGTTTTTCAGATCCATGTTGGTTTTTTGGTGGGAACAGCACGTTTTTGTGCGTTTGCATGAGCCACGTCCAGCGCATGCAGCCGCAGAAGGTGAGGGGGGGGGAGAGACGGGTGGGCAGCAGAGTTGGCTTGGGGGTAAACGAGCCCGGGATACATTGCTCTGCTCGGCAGAATGCTGGCGAAGCGGGCGGGCACGGGGGCTACGCGTATTCGCACAAGTGTGGGGGGATGGTGAGTCCTCGCTCGATTTTCTTTGGAAGAAAACAACAACGCGAAGAGAACGGACTGTGGACAAAAACAAAATAACATTCGAACGACAGTACCCCTAACGTCAAACGGCGGAACCCCTTGCCTGGAAAGCGATCGGGAACACCTCGAGGGGGATGTTGACACGGCGAGCCGCACCCCCCTTGAAAGAGCCGTTGGGAGAGGAAGAAGGGCCGTCACAGGACAGAGAACACAACGAATACAGACAAGGGCAGTCACACCCTAGCGAGGGCAGCAACGCCAGCAGGGGAGGGTGGGCTGGAAGGGGCAGTCTTGACCTAGCCGGGCTTGGAGTATAGGGGACCAAGGCTAGGCAACCAGGGCCGGCTTCCGGGAGAAGGACGATCGACGTTCCCTCTCGCTCTCCACGATCTGATTTTTCGGCGCACCACCAAGAACGTAACGTGTGCGTTAGCACTACACTAGCATGACCGAAACACCATGCTTTGGACAAATTGGCTCTGTTGGGCTTGGCGCTACCGGCGGCTACCTGCACGTTTCCGTGTAGAACGCCCCACCGCCTACATGAAAACAGGTGGTGATGAAATTTTGGGGTCAAATGTTGGAACTTGAATCCTACCCGCTCCAAAAACCTGTGATTCCCTGTTGGCATGCCCACGCTCATCAAGTGAGGAACGAGGGTTGCGTAAAGTACGATTTTCTTGAGTGGTGTACCAGAAACTTTGAAAAATTCTGAAGCAGGCGTGGCCGGCTCCGAAGACGGACGCGCGTCCTCCGGCACCCTGCTTCAACATCGCCCTTGGTGCGGGGAATACTTGGGAGGTGTACACCACGCGTACGTAGCCGTGCGCAAAAACAAGCTCCAATATATGCACCGCGATTGTTGTAGCGGTGGACACCCAACCCGCTCGTCGGAAAGCTGCTGGAGAAGCCAAAGTCAAACTGCTAGATGAAAAATCACGGACGGTGCCCCCGCCGAATACTGGACACTCCATATTCTCCCCTTGCCCGCTACGCCCTAGGAGACACAGAACCCCTACATCTCTTTGGAGAAATCAAACAAGCTTGAGCAAACCGTCGAGCAAAACAGTGCGGCATAGTCTATGAGTATGGTCTTGCCGTGCGAGATCGAGCTGCTTCAAATGATGCGATTAAAACACAATATGCTGGATGTACAGCATATGCTGGATGTACAGCATATCCACTATATGCTACAAGTCAGTGCTAAAGAAAAATAGCATACAGCAGTGTATATGTTGTACATCCAACATGCCTCCAACGAAATCTTCTCGCAGAGGTCGTTTGCCCACCGTGAGTCGTAGAAAAAGCTTGGAAGACTTCCCCTCTGCTCATGTCTTGCTTGGGTTACTCTCACCTACCCCTTTGGTTCGTAGTCCACACTACCGTCATCGGTGAGGTCAGGGGCTTCGGTTACAGAAGCTCCCCACCTCACTGACCGAGGCAAGGCAGACTACTAACGCGAGGGCAGGTTCAAACCCAACCCAAGCAGGGCATGGGCCAAGGGGAAGCCTTCAAGCTTCTACTACACACTGATGGCGGGTCAACAAGTTTGGTCAACCACCGCAGAAAAGCGCGCTTCAGCAGCTGCCCAAGCTCAACCACACCGCCCGAAAGTGCCGGAGCTTGTGTGAGAGTGGCGTCGCATGCCTTGACAGCAGCACCCGGTAACCAGAAACGACTCTAGAGGCGTTCTTGTCAACTGTAGGTACGGAGACGCGTGCAGCAGCCCGAAATTTGACCAAACTGCAGGTTTTTTGGGTTCTTCGACGCATTGCCGCCGTTCTCCAAGTTTGTACCCCCCCTCAATACACGGATTACACGCGAATCAAGCTGGTTCACTCGCTGTTTTATAAACATGGCAAAAGGTTTTGAATTGGGCACAGTTTGATTTTCGATCTACGGCCCAACAACGTCGAAAAGACGATTTTCCTGTATTTTTCATATCCTCCCCATAGAAAGCTGTTTCTGTTAAAAAAATCCCTCAATCCATATTCAAATTGTATTGTTTCCGAATCTCCATTCCCTCTTACTTTCCTCTGATCTCTTTTGCGAACCACATGGCGTAGCCTTCAACCGCTTGAGCGTTTGAGCTACTGATCTACACCGGCGTTTTTTGTTCAAGGCTAGCCTGTCATTGTGTTTCACATCATCATCATCATCCACTTCCATTCTCCGTCACATTTTCGCAGTCTTTGTGTTACTGCTGTGCAGCATTCTCTCCAACGCAAGAGCTCCTATCGGAAGTGGCAAACACCCATTGCCCCGCCGCCGCCCTCACAAGCCAGCAACACTTCCAACGCCCCCCGGGCGCTAATAGAGCCTCCGTCACGGGTTGCACAGAATGATGACTCCGGACCTAGCGATAGTCTATACGGGACGAGAGTCTGGTGGTTTTACCATTCCAACGTAGCCAAGGCGAGACATGATACGGTGATTCCCCGCAGTCAGTACGAGAAATGGATTCCATGTCTTCCCCGTATCTGCCAGCGCGAGTAATGACAATGAAAACGGCTTAACAAACTTAGCCAGCGTGAGGAACAACTGCAACGCGTATCCCAACTCAGGCAGCACGATGAACCACTCTCATGGCTTGGCCGACTCGGCCAGCTTTGAGGGACGACGTATTCCACGGCTACTCACCGGAAAATCGACCCCCCTTCGAGACGTGCGAAAAAATCTTCGTAGATCCCTCTCCACCAGCATCAGAGTCATCTACAGCCTCACAGCCGTAATGAGTTGTACCAGGTCCATAATGGCGTGTGGAAATAGGGTGCCATCGCTTTTCAACCCCTGTTCCTCGCCCTCCACCCTCGCCCGCCGTCGAGCTTGGCTTCGTCATCGCCATCCTTGCCTCCTGCGAAAGAAAAAACGACTCCGATGTGAAAAAACAACGCCTTCCCACACGCCTTCGATGAAAAACAACCTCCGATGAATGAAAAATGCTTCCGAAAACCGGGAAACGACCTCCGATGAAAGAATAACGCCTCTGGTGAGAGCAAAACGCCTCCGTCGAAGCAGATGGAAAAAACAGCACAAGTGGCATTGGGATGGAAGAACGCGCGGGCGGTGTGGCACGATTTCTCGACTTGTCGCTGCTGGCCGTACGGCGCCAAAAAGGTCTGGAGAACAACAAGAAAGTGAACGCGAAAAAAGCAAGCAAGGCGAGGGGTCATGCGTGCAGTGCCAATACGTTAATGCTACTGCAGTATATCTATAGTCGGGGTCACTTTTGAGAGCCGGTACGCGCCCGCCAAATTCACGGTATACCGGGCACTCGGCACCCAATCAACGTGAATATTCCATCCGCCACCAGATTCACCGGCACTCTATAATAGTGCTGTGCCCCAGTGCAGTGGCACTATTCCAAGTGGCACTATTGAGGGACCACGACTGCTGGTACGAACAAGCGTTTCGAAGTGACGGCAGGAACGTTTCTCTCTACATATATATATATATATTTATTTTCTCCCATCATTGGACTCTGTCGTCTGCCCCTCTGGCCCCTATCCTCCTATTAGCTAGACGACCCAACCGGGGTCACATAGGGGGGGGGGGCTGGACCCCCTCCTGCAGTTCCTGTCTGGGGTATTTTTATAGCGAGAAGGGTACAGCAATCCCTTCCCTCGCGACTTACGAAGTCGATTATGGTTTACTAACAACGAGCTTTACAACGCGTCGCTTTCATCCTAGACCAGGATTTATTTAGTGACAATAAAACTCACTCTGCCGGGACCCGAACCCATGACCTGGCCCTTAGTACACACGCAAACACGAACGACTTCGACCTCCGTGAACAAAAAAAAAACTGCTGTTCAGCGCGTTTCTTCCGCACGGAGTGCATGCATCATTGAACGGAATTGGCGCCTGCACGGAAGGCATCCTATGAGGGACAATACCCGAAACGCGTCGACTTACCATGGATGAGCGACAATACCCGGAACGCACCAGTTTACCATGGTATATGCATATGTGGCATGATAGACGCAATCGCACGAAGTCTGCAGGATTGCACGCTTCAAGCTACAGGTAGTCGACGGAAGCGGGCAAAAAATAAATACTACTGTTGTCGTGGTGTGTGACCCCGTGAGCTACAACGCACAAAACGCACCTACGTTACAGTATGGATATCCAACCACGGTGCAAAATGCAATCACGCGTATGCCTCTGCAGGCTATGCACGTGGTCGTAGGAACGTTTTGCTGGAACGAATTTGAACACTACGGCTACACGACGGCCCTCTAAAAACTGGGATGGAGCCTAAGCCCATGGTGGTAGAATTTTTGGCAGCACCCGCGCTTCAGCCTGCTCTCTGGCTACAGCTGTACGTACTGCTGCAGTATCGCCGTGGCATACAGCAGTAATGCCGCTCTTGCGAACGAAGGCTTAGACTACATACCGTGTCGAGTTGCGAACATCAACGCTCCTCCATCCCTCGGAAATGCGTTCAAGCAGCGACTTGTCTCCCTTTTTGGCGCGATATACCCGGCAGTGAGAGTGCATCATACCCTACTCTTGTCGCCCGAGCTAGACACGTGCTGTGCATGTGTTCACCGCGCGTCTCGCAGACACAAAGTGCGACAGGATGCGTGTAGACTACGCATGCAATGCGCTCAGTGACACGACATGACGAGAGGCGGCCCAACTACCAAAATCGTGCAGCAAGCGTCGACAACGCGTGAAATGGTGTTTGTTTTCACAGACATGAAGTCACCATAAAACCCACCCATGTACCGCATGAACGACCAAGGCGAAATGTTGTTGATGTGGGGCTAATTTCTTACCCTCTCGTGTGCGCCATAAGCACGACCTTGGTGTCATACATAGCTGTTGGTGTCAGCTCTATGTAGACTGCTGTAATACGCCGAGGAGTTCAAGTTTGGCAGCCCGAACGTACCTACCTCAGGACCGACCGAGCACAGTGCCGGGTGCCAAGACTCAATGCAGCTGATACCACTCTCCTCCGTTGTCCCTTGCCAACCGGAGCGACGCCTAATACCCTCTTGTGTGAGACAATTGCCGCTGCGCTGCTGTGTGTGTTGCTGTGTCTTCTGGCAAATCAAATTTGGCACAACGCAATTGATCAACGTCAATCTTCTGTGCCCCCCCACCCCCCCCCGTGCCCTACGTATGATTTTTTGTAACGGTCAAAGTTGACTTCTTTGGCCGGGATCTATTTTTCGACGACGACGAAGTCGGCACGGGCGGGATCTTTTCTGACCATCTTGATCAGATCTCCACCACTCGGCACGAGTAGCCAGTTCCTGACGTATAGCAGCACACCGCGGCTGTGACTACGGCAATTGCCGAGCTTATCCGTGTTAATGCCTGAGAGGTTCCAAAGTACCTGTTTCTCCCGTGTCTACTTCCTGTACACAGCAGTAGTTGTGCCAAGCGGCCGTGCGACGGGTTGTGCCTCACCCCGTCGTAGGGCCTGTCTCGCCGAGAATCGTCTCATCCTACAAGCCCACGCTTGTGGACCGCGGGAGGTTCACATCTACTGGAGTCTTAATTATTTCCAGTTTGGCAGAGAGCAGCCCTGCCGGTAGGACGCCGCGGCCGCACACCGCGTCACCGATGCACAGCAGTTTGAACGGTGTCGGAAGCGAAATACCTGCAATCTCCGATCACAACAAGAAGACCAGCAGCAGTACGAGCGTCATGATCCCCGGACGTGGGTTGTTCCAGATGAGCAAGGCGTGTGACACCAAAGGCGGTTTCACCGATGGCAGCAGTATCGCTAGCACCAGCAACAACACCGCTGTTGGACAGCCTCCGATGGTTGTGCCCCCCGTGGACGAGCGTCCACTCCGACCCGCTGCCGCAGTCACCAGGACCGACAGGTAGGAATCCTGCTCTACTGACCGTTAATAACGCGCTCTCCAGCCCTGAGAGCGACCGGTGGCCATATCGATACGCTGTTCATCGGTACATCGTGCCCTGTCTGCCCATCTCTGTCTGGATTCGCCGTGCGTTCACGTACTGTAGAGCTGCACACATCGAACAGTCCATGACATCAAAGTTCCTTCAACTCGCCGTCTTTTTTGCTCGCCTGCCCTCCCCGAAGAATGAAGATTGCAATTTGTTCTGTCCGACGCAAAAAGCAAGCCGTGTTTGCTACGTGTCATTCTGGATGCCTCGGTTTGTCCACTTACAAATGGCTCTGAAGCATGGAAACCGGCCTGATGGCGCCACGAGTGTTCATTCATGTCTGTAAACAGCTCGTACATCGCGAGAAACATTAGGTGGAAATTGTAGACTACCGTAGGCCGTTCTTCTAAGTTGGAACTAAGATACACAGCTCAGAGGTGGACCCTACAAACACAACACTATCATTTCAGTAGTCTATCCTCGATGATAGCGACGAAATATTAGCCTGAGCCTCGACCCGAATTGACGGCCCTTGCTACTCCTAGCGGACGAGTGTTGTGGGGTACTCAATGATATGGTTTTACAACGCGACGGGAATGTCGACAAATACTCCTGATGGTGATTTCGTGCTTGGCGCCATGTACACAATCAAACCTCACTGTTGTTGAAAGACGCCACCGGCTACGTGATGTGCGGAGAGTGCGGAGAGCGCGGTAGGCGACTCCAGTAGCTCCGTTTTGCACAGCTGTACAGTTCCTTGCTGTTTCTTTTGTTCAGGACCTTTGATAGCTATCAAGGACGTTCGCGTGTACATGTGGATTGTTGTTGTTGCTGCTGCTGCTGGTGCTGGTGGTGGTGTTACTGCCGCTGTCAATGTTGACATGTTCGATGTTGATGTTGTTGGAATGGTCAGGAGAAGACGGCAGCTATACTGGGGCATAGGAAGTGGGCTGAAAAAGACGAGAAGGGATATCGGTAGGATAGAGAGGGGACGGAAGCAGTTTCAAGCCACCGTTGGCAAAGTAGGAGGGAACGATTGGTCATGGGTGATCGATCCTGTGGAAGCAATGCTACGTCCTCTCGAGGACGCGAGGTGAACGGTCTAGCCGCTATCGAATCCACAACATGAGTACGCCCCCCCCCCCGCCTTCTTGCGACTGGATGGATGATGTGAAGCCGGCGGCCGTGGACAAAGCATGACGACAACGCCGTGAGGGAGCTCGTGGCGGCACACGGCACGAAAAACTGGGCGGTGGTGGAGCAGAACATGATCTCCGTGTACGGCATCTACGGGAGGTCCGGGAAGCAGAGCAGGGAGCGCTGGCACAACCACCTGAGTAAGCACGCGCTTGGGAAGCAGGCGAATGGAAGAATTGCAGAGTTGTCAAAAATCGCAATGATGTCAACAACAAAGACACGGCAGAGATATCAACGGATTATGATGGTTGCATTGTTGCTGCAGACTGCATGTTTCACGACCTTGTGTTGGGTGGCGTGCACGATAACCTATATAATATTTAGGTTGAGGTGTGTATCTGCGAATTGTTGCCACTTGAGGTCAATTGCTATGGCGTAGGCCGTACGTACTATCGAGAAACGCCTCTCAACAAAAAACACAGGGACAATACTAGTGCCTTGCCGGTTGTCCGGTTGTGACGTGAAAATACGCTGAGGAGCGCCAATCAGCCAAAAGAAAAATTATCCGCCATGCCCTCATGTTCACCAACAAGTATGCAGAATTGGCTCGTTATTCCGATACCGTGGTGCAACATCATTATTCCCGTTCGTAGGACCGGACGGGGAGCGCCCGTGCAAGAATGCTACCGATGTCGTCTACGACTACCGCACGAACTACGAGGATGCCCTTGCGTCAACGGGACTCTTGCGTTCCACAACGGACCGGTCCTCCTACCTTTTTACTCCGTCCGGTGCTTCCACGTTGCTACCGGCCTATGTACCGCTGATCCTCTCATAAGAACGATCTCGTCAACATTGCTCACTCACGTTGACCGCAACTGTTTCGCGCAGACCCTTCGATCAAGAAGAACGCCTGGACGCCCGACGAGGAGCGCATTATGGCCGAGGCCAGGGCAAAGCTCGGAAACCGCTGGTCGGAGATCGCCAAGCTTCTGCCCGGGCGGACGGACAACCAAGTCAAGAACCATTGGTGAGTTTGATGCATGAGGTGCGATATACAGGTTCATTTGCATGATTTTCTCATGGCCGTGACGAATTTATCTTACTGTATTCGACAAACCAGTTCTCACTTTTTAAGTGACACCTCGTGTCAATATGTGGACCTATTCCCAACAAACACGCAAATCCCCCAACTCTTCTTCGGGCAAAGAACACCCATCTCAAGGACCCCCAAAGGCTGGGTTCAGAGCAGGTCTCCTGCCCGGAAGCAAGTGTTTGATAGCGTTTTTCCTTCGTTCACCCTACCTTACCCCCCTTCCCCTGCACACCCATTCACCCGGCAAAACAAAAACCGAAATCAGGTACTCGTTTATGCGGCGCAACGTTCGTCGGTTGACTCGTGAAGTTCACGGTGGAACCAAGCCACCTCCTCCGCCAACGCCATCGCGGAGAAGATCGTCAAGGTCATCACCCCCACCATCGGCGTCGCCCGCCACGGCCACAGTCGCAACCACCCCCGTCTCTGCAGCTTTGCCATCGTTGCTTCCTTCTGGTCCCCGCTACGGAAAGTTCCCAGGAGGGATGAGGGGGGGCGCTTGCGTCTCAACTACGGCTGCTCTTGGCGCCAGCGTTAGTGCGGCGACTGCGGCGGCCGCGATTGCTGCTTCGTCTGGTGCTGCTATTACTGCTGCTTCTAGTGCTGTCATTGCTTCTGGTTCTACTATTGCTGCTCCTGCCGCCCCTGCCGCGGTCGCCGCCGCCGCCGCCCCTGCCACCGGTGTTGTCGCGTGCCGTGGTAGTGGTTGGTGGCCTGCTCCGGGTAGTGTTCTCGGCTGCAATCCTACTTTCGGCGCTTGTGCCAGTGGCGGTGCTGTTGCCGATGCTACCATTGCTGGTACTGGTGCTGGTGCTGGTGCTGGTGCCGGGGCACTTGAGACGGAAAGCAAGGATGGAGGAAAGACTAAAGGGGGGCTCAACGCGGAGAAGGGAGCTACGGCGTGTCGAAAGAAGGGCCGCCCGCGAAAGGCCACCGGTCTGGCGGGTAAGGAAGCTCTTCAATGACACAGACTTGTTGAGGTTCCGAAACGGGCACGTGTCCCGCACTCTAACCATGCTCCGCAGAAAATATCTCTAGGACCGAACTCAAGCCCCCCCCCCCGTAGCCTTCGGGGCGGCAATCCCGAAAATATGACCGCATGAATGTACAGATATATTTTGCCCGCTTCATGTCCCTTGGCTCTTGGCACTTGTTGGCTTCAGCGGGCAAACATGGAGATACCGATCGTGGCGTTTGCCACCACGCAGAAGCGACGAAAATGTTTCTCGTTGAGACCCAGGCGGCTGCCGAGTGTCAAGTGAACGGTCACATCTGTTTTCTCCCTTCCTCCATCGCCCACCTTTTTATTTTCTTGCACCTTAGCGCTACTACTTCCTTGCCTTTCACTCCCGTCTCCCTCACACTCGCCAGGGCTGTCTGGCTCTATCAACGCATGGTACACGCCCCAGAACGAACCGCATCAAACCGTACACCGACAAAAAATAATTTCCTACCCACAATTGCTTTCTTCGTTTTCCTCGTGGCCGACATAGTCATCCCTTGCTTGACAACTTCATGTCTCATTGTCCACGACGCGTGTTTTTTTCCCACTGGGGGTGCACCAAATGTTAGAGCTGGAGCGGTACATGGCGTGCGCGCAAGAAGCGGCCCAGGCGGTTCTCAACGACTCCGGCAGACCCCAAGACCCGATACTTCGCCAACAGGTGAGACATTCTCTTCCCTACGCCAACAGGCACAAGATGCAGCAGTCTCCCCTTCCGATTCTTCATTGCATGGCAAAACCGTTCACGCAAAAAATGTGTCATGACGAGCGAGGAAGCCTCGAGCGAACGTCGGTAGGTATTTTTTTTGTTGAGGGTGGCTAGGTTGTCCCACTGATTGTCCAAGAAAATATTTTGTCTGGCTGAACCGTGTGTCAGAGCCATAAGCCGTTGAAAACGTTTTCATGTTCTCTCAAAGTGAAGGCCTCCTGAAATTCAACGTCCCAACCTTCTTCCGCCACGCCCGGCGCGGAGGAGCTACCGAAAACTTGGTGTTCTCCGTCCCGGCCTTCTTGAATACCCCTACCCCCGCTGTCTATCCTCCGTTAAGCATGTCCTCTTTCGCCCTATTTGCTCCCTCTCCAGAATCCTCAGGGCATGGAGGTCACCGTCACGTCGGCACCGCGCGGGAGCCCACCCGTTGGTGCATCCGTGGCGGCCATCGAGATGGCCAGGTGGAGAGAGAGAGAGAGAGAGAGAGAGAGAGAGAGAGAGAGAGAGAGAGAGAGAGAGAGA